GGTCTGAGTCAAACAATGGCGTATGTGTGTATGCTGGTGCAGGACTTGAACTTTTTATCCTTTTTTCCTGTGGTCACTCTAATTAACATCATGTTAATGCAAAATCTAAATCATTTGAAATGGGGCGCGCATTTTGTCTCTTTTTGCTCCTATTCGTTTTTTCACAAGTGCATTCACCTGCGCTAGAGAGAGACGGAAGATGTGCTAGGCAGAATGGAAAGTTCTAGAAGGCACTGTTCGCTGTTAGCAAAAAGGGCGGGAATCCGTGCAAGTAAATTGGCGGTTATGAACTTTGCAGAGCTGCAAACTATTCTGCTCTCGCTTTAGTCTACGACTAACCATCGTATGTGATCTCTCTTCTCGTCTGCGATTGCGATTTTTGTCAGTTTTGCCTATCTTTAAACAAATCTCCCTTAACGTAAACTAACCAGAATCCATTTTTACTTTCATTTTTCATTAAACTCATTTTTCTGTGCTTAAAACTAACGTAAATTTTGTAAACAAATTGTTACGCGGTCGCGAGTTGTTGCTGCCTCTTCCGATTTGCTGCCGACGTCGCTGCCGTTGTTTGCTGCTGGGCTGGTTGCTGCGCTCGCTGCTAAGTACCCCTTTTAACGTACAGTGGCTCACAGCTTATTTGACCCACACCTAATTTTTAACATTAAACAGGTATAACTCCAGAACCATAAGAGATACCCATAAAAATAAAACGCAGAAACTGTTGTTTTAACTTCAAAAATATGTTTTCATTTATTTATTCTAGCAAGGAACTTCTTAATTAAACAATAAAAACTAAAAATACTGCCTTTTTCAATGTCACAGCTTATTTGACCCAGTTCATCAAATTAATTATAAAAAATTGCAAAAAAAATATTTTTTTAACTTTTAGTATTTGGTATGTCCGCCCTTTTGGTCCACAACTGACTTCAGTCGATTGGGAATAGATTCGAGCAATTTTTTTGTGGTTCCTGGGGTGATTTTAGCCCATTCTTCGAGCAAAGCCGTCTTTAAGTCATTTTTATTGGAAATAAAATAACATTAAAATCGGGTGACTGAGCTGGCGATTTCATTATATGGTGACAATTATAACCCAGCCAATATTGAACTATAGCCGACTTTTGCTTTGGGTCATTGTCTTGGTAGAACCGAAAACCCTGTTTTATTCCCAATTTCTCAGCACTTTGGAGTAAATTATCCTTAAGGATATTAAGATAAACATTTTTATCCATTGTGCTTTCAATAAATTTTAGGTTTCCGACTCCTGCTGCGGACTTACAGGCCCAAACCATAACGTGTCCGCCGTCATGCTTAACGGTGGGTTTTATATGTTTGTCCTGCAGCTCTGTATTGGCTTTACGCCATAGCTAATAACGTCCATCGGATCAAAAATATTAAATTTTGACTAATCAGTGAAAATGACGTAATATTTTTGGGTCCAAATGATGTTCAAATGATGATTTGCAAACGTATTCGAAGGATTTGATAGAGTTGCAGTACTCAACATTGCAATGCGTTGAGAACGTTTTCGACAAAAGCGGGCAATATGGAACGATCCAGCGGTTATCCACGATTACTGTTACGTTTGTTTCACCATTACTTCGATCCATTTGCCGTTGTTATCTGGAGAACGATGCTTATACAATGGATATCGTTTTGTGCAGTTTCCGTTATCCATACATACTGATTCTGGCTGTGGACTCCGCAAGGGCCATGTATCATGCTCGTTGTCACAATGGAATGCAGCTCGGGTTCAGTTTGTTTATCTGGTATTTCGGCTGAAATAATCGAATCAATTTGATCTGGTCGGATCTTGTCGAACATCCAAGGCAGAATTTGCGAATGTAAGCCACGTTTCTGCCACTCAACCGAGTACATCCAAAAACGAACTGCGCCAAAAACCTTCTGTTTAACGATGTAATTCATAAGTACTGTGATCTTTTGCTTGAATACTCGTGCAGTGATGTCAGGTCGATCGCTAGATGTTTGTCCTGGAAGCAACAGATTCGTAATTTCGGGCCATTTCGGATTACATGTGAACGTGATGAATAAATCCGGGCGTCCGTAATTACGGACATACGTCATCCCATCTTGAGCGTACTCATGCATATGGCGCGGGCTTCCACCATAAGTAGCTGGAAGAATGGTCAAACAACCGATGTTGGCCGCGTGTCCTTCAGTAGCGATGGCGTCACGCAAGTGGATGTACTCGTCTGAGCGCAACTTCGACTGATTGAAACGAATGAAATTGAGACGCTCCGTTTCTACTTTGACTTACATGTCGACACAGTACTGTTGAAATAAACGGCGGTATCTCAACAGATGATTGTCAACATCTAGTCGAATCATCAATCAATACGCATTAAAATTCATAGAGCTGACCTTCTTATTAGTTTCTTCTCCTAAAATTTGAATTCAAACTTAGTTGTAGATACAAAAAAATGTGATGACTTGTAAACAAACCTGTCGTTGGATTGACCATCCTTATGTTGAAGTGATACCCATCTTCTCCACGACAGAACATCAACGGGTATTGAGGTGCATCATATGACCGATGAGTCTCATAAACTCGCTGCAATTGGCCATCATCCCGACGCTTGAGAACATTATCGCGTGATTCCACAATCTCGCCAACAATCACTGCGACTTTATTAATAGTGGGAGCATTAAATTGTCTTGCATGGCTTCCAGTGGGCCTTTTGTCAGCGCTGATAATGATTTTGTGGTCATCAGAATGCATTGTATCCAATGCGGTTTTGAACAATCTGACCAATTTATTACGCCCATACAGAAGATTTTGCGATTGTTGTATAATTTCACGTTTAGTTGTAGTGAAAATTGCACAACGCTGATTTAGTTCATCTTCCGAATCACCAATGAACTAGATCTGAAGGAATTTATGATCTTTGTTTGGTGGTGGTAACAAAGCGCCCGCTCGATGGTGAATTTGCCCTTGAATCTGAATGTTGGGATGCAATTGAGATAATAAAGAGACGCCATTACCTCCTAACTCGGATTGTAGCCTGGTTGATGAACAACCTCCGCTCCAAATGACGTCATTTGAAAGCATTCGTTATATTTTTGTGCAAGCTTTAGGAAACTGTTTGATTGGGCTGAATTTCCATATAGTAGCGAATACAATGGCTCTGGTGGATGAGCCAAAACGGGCACCAATTTTGCACCTGCACTGCATAAGCCGGGGGTTTCCAATCGAAACTTCAGTGCATTGCTATGCTGACATACGACAGACAATGAACCAATAACAACGCAGCTATGATCTTTGTAGGATGTTTCGGAATTGTATGCAAATGCAGCGCGATTCAAGTTTTAATTTCGTCGGGCTTTTCTTTGTGCAGCGCGAAGCTGTGCAATTCGGGCACGTGCCGATACATTTATTTCTGCACGTACCTCTTGCGTTCGATTATTACGGACATTCTGAGAATGTATAGCATTACGTGAACGCCGTCCAAGTCTTGATCTAAAAGCAGGCATTATTTCAAATTAAAACTTTGGCAATGATTCGTTAACTCGATTTTTTACAGTTTTATGTACAACAATGAAGTCAATATTTCCAAAGACTGATGTTTTAACAGTTTTATGTACAGCAATGAATACATCTCTTAAGCCGATAGCGACTTTCCCGGCAGGTTTTCCCAAAATTTTCTTATGTATTAACCTTCTTCTGGCAATTACAAACAACTGAAAAAAAATTTGAGCCAAATCGGCCCAGCCGTTCTCTTGTTTTGCGATGGCGTACATTTTTTGCACCATTTTCATATATAGATACTTGCACGCAGGATCGCAAGCGTTACTTGCCACATTAATTTTTTAATTCTGATGACACAAGTGAAAATAAAAGGCACAATTAGGGGAAGAGCAAATGAGTTAAAATATTAGTTTTTAATAACGGGATAGAAGTGGAAATGCAAATTAGATGATAAAGGTTGTTATAAGTATTACATAGAACGCGAAAGGCTCGTGCAGACAAAAATTTGATGAACATCGTGGCAAATTTAGAGGGATATAATTTCGTGTTAGTCTAACAGGAACATTGAAAGTTAGGCGGTTTACAAGTTCTGCAGAATCAATATCACCTCTTATAAGATTATGCATAAAAATAGTACCAAGCATTTTTCTACGATTTAGAAGTGTAGGTAAATTAAGCAACAGTAATCTACTCTGGTAGGAATGTAGCCTTACGTTTTGATCCCAGTTCAAACTACAAAGAGTAAATCGAAGAAATTTTTTTTGTACCGACTCAATACGGTCAATGTGCACTTGATATTGTAAACTCCAAACCGACGAACAATATTCCAAAATAGGACGGACAAGGGAGGTAAATAATAACTTGGGTGTATAAGGGTCATCAAATTCTTTTGACCAACGCTTTATAAAGCCAAGAACACTCATGGCTCACTTAAGGCAAAGGTATTGGCCAATTGGAGGACGAAAGTTCGTGGCTACCGTCATCAACAAATGCGTCAGATGTTTTCGGATAAAGCCTGTCACTTGAGAGCACGTTATGGGCAGCCTGCCAGCAAATCGAGTTCAGCCTAACCCAGCATTTCAAACCACGGGAGTGGATTATTGTGGACCATTTTATCATTAGGCAGAGGCCCGCAACAAGGTGCCTCACAAGTGCTACATCGCCGTCTTTGTCTGAAGATTCACCAGCATGAGAGGCACTCCGCGCACTATTTGCAGTGACAATACGACGAATTTTGTCGGCGCTAAGAGCGAGCTAACCGAGCTGAAGAATCTATTTCTGAGCGAACCCCACACGGCTGCGATAGCTTCTTCCTGCTTAGCTGATGGGATTGATTGAAAGTTCATACCTCCGCGTGCCCCACATTTCGGTGGTTTATGGGAGGCGGCTGTTAAATCGGCCAAATTTCACTTTTATAGAGTCGTCGGTGCTTCCATCTTGGGCCTCGATGAATTGAGAACTCTAGCTTATGAGATTTCTGCCATCCTTAACTCCCGTCCACTCTGTCCAATTTCAGAAAACGCTGAAAGTCTTGAGGTGCTAACGCTGGCCCATTTCCTGAAAGGCCCCAGCTACACAAGGTTTCCTGAGCCTGATATCACGCATCTCCGAGAAGGCCGCCTCAGCAGATGGCATAGGGTGACACAGATGCAGCAGCAATTCTGGAAGCGGTGGAGCAGCGAGTATTTATCCTTGCTCCAAGAAAGGAGTAAGTGGCGCATCGAAAGATCCAACATCAATGTCGGAAGCATCGTGTTGCTGAAGGAGGACAACCTTCCACCCTTGAAATGGCAGCTGGGGTGCATCCAAGGAGTCGTTCCAGGCGAGGACGGCGTCGTCAGAGTAGCAATGGTCCGTACAGCTACGGGTCTAGTCAAGAGAGCCGTCGCCAAGTTAGCCGTTCTGCCCATCGATTCCCATTCAGTTGGAGCCCTACTTCCTCCAACGGGGGGAGTATGTTCGGAGCAGCCCGCCAGCGCCTAGTCTAGTGCGCATAGGTGTACGGCTGAACCTGTAGCGCTCTTGCGCTCTCCTCTTTATATTTGCCTTATCTCGCTAAGCTGTCGCGCTACCTATTCAGCGACTACATTTATAAAACCCGAATTAAAATATGAAGCCAGGCTTTCGGCTGCAGCAGTGCTGATTCGACTGGCAGAATAAACACGACACGTACATAAACTGATAAAATTAAAAAGCGTTATTATTACATAATATACGTGGCATTTTTGTTGACTTCCCCCAAACAATGGTAATATATGCCATAAGAAAATGTACTACGAGGCAACGATTGCAAGCCATTACTTTCACCGGACCGTTGCAAGGTATCTTATAATAAGTTAAAATCAAATAAATAAATATATCGAATTAAAAAATACAGTCCACTAATTTTATGTTTGCATTGTTAACGAAAAGAATTGATGTATTAATAACCTGTACACCTCAACTTGCCGGCCCTTGGCAGAACCTACAAGGGACAAGAGCCGAACAATTGTAATCTTAAGTACAGGCCACTTGAGCCTGACCATAAATATAGTTCTCGCCTTGCGGGAGACCGTTGATAAGGCTGTAAGCCTGAGCTGATGTGGTCTCTGTGTAGACCATAGATAAGGATATTATAAGAATTTCATGTTAGTTACGTAAGCGAAGACTTAGAAAAATAAAGTCAGTTTTAATACAGAACTCAAACGTGAAGGTTGTTTTCCTTATTACAGGAATCCCTCACAAGTTTAAATGCTCAAATATTTCGAAGAGAGACTTTCTCTTCCTCTCTCTCCGTCTCTCCCATCAAGACAGTTTCTATTTTTAAATCACAGAGGTTAACGAAATTCCGTTACCCTATCTGTGCGTATGCAGGTCCGGTTTTTTAGATATAGAAAAAGCACAGGTCTTTTTTGTTGGCCGAAATCTGGGATACAGGACAAATAAACTGTACACCTTGGCGAAACCCATTGCTTCCGCAAATCCCTTTTTAAAAACCATAAAATAGGTAGAATGCATTAGTTGTAGCTTCTGATAGCGGCGTAATATGAGCTCTCCTTATAGTGAGAAGACGAAATTTGTTTTTATTTTTGACAAATCTTCACTGATATTAAAACATAGGCTTGTCGAAGTTGTGTTCCGTTTTTATATATTTTTAAGCAAACGACTATGGCAAAATTTCCAGCTGTATTAAATGAAAATCCGAATATTTTTCTTAGCAAACAGTTTGAGGCTAAGATTAATTAAATAACATTAAATGAATTTTAATGTAAATTAACTTATTATAAAAAATTATAGATTAAAAACGGAGGATTCTAAATAAGCAGATTTATTTTCAAAAATAAAAATTATTTTTATCCTCTTATTTCATTTTTATACCCTTGCAGAGGGTATTATAATTTTGGTCAGAAGTTTGTAACGCAGTGAAGGAGACGTTTCCGACCCCATAAAGTATATATATTCTTGATCAGGATCAATAGAGGATTCGATATAGCCATGTCCGTCTGTCCGTCTGTTTCAATACCGTTTGAGAGCTCAGTTTAAAACTAGCGATCGGAAACTTTCACAGTCGTCCTAAAACATGTGTACGCAGATCAAGTTTGAAAACCGCCCCGATCGGATATCTATATCCTATAACTCCCATATAATAAAGTATAATATGGTGAAATCGGTTAAAATTTAATGATTTTTCGCACAGTATATAAGCAATTGACATGAATCTTTCCAAATCGTATTTTTTATGCTTAACTTGATTAGGGTAATAGCGCGTGACGAACGGACGTCAATATCCTATAGCTCCCATAGGAACAATATACCTTATTCCTTTCGCTACTTTTTCATTTTTAGCAATTTCGGCAAAGTCTGCAAGGGTATTAAAACTTCGGCTTGCCGAAGTTAGCTTCCGTCCTCGTTTTAAACAAATTTCACCGAATTTATTTTTAATTGCCGGAGATTAACTATCATCGTTAAAAATAAAAGTCGATATACGTAATAAAAGTCAAAAGATGGCTGCAGCAATAGATACAAAAAAATGTATTGGCAATAGATGGCGCCACAATTTAATTCAAGAGCTCTAGCGGAATGGCAAATAACATAAAAAACATCGTGAGGCGATGAATTGCCCAAAAATCGAAAAAAGTAGATAGAGGTAAAATCAAAATTTGACTACTCGCCAACAGAAGTTATAATAACGCAGAACTAAAAACAGAACACATTAGTATGTGAAATTTGTTCTTTAAAGTATACGTACAATTTTTAAAACATACGAAATCTATCAAATTCATTCATGATTGTTCTATAACACCTTTAATAAATAGTAATCCGATCAACACGATTTCTTAGCGTCATTTAAGACAAAATCGCTGTTGATTTAATATGCCATTCAAATTCACAAGTGATTCAGGTTTCAGACTCTTAAAACTATATTTGACCCAAACCTTATTTTTATGCAATTATACATAAAATGTTATTTTGACGAGATATATGTATGACAACCATATATAAAATCTACAGCAGAGCTCTGTTGGCGTCGATGTTTTACATACTTGCAGTACATTTTGACGAGTAATTGAGGACTAATTTCCTGTAAAAAAAGGTTTTGAAAAAGTTTAAAATTAGAAAACAAAAATATTAAAACAAGAGCTACAAGCTATATCAAGTTAGCAGAAGAAATAGTATATTTTGGAAAAAGAATTATAGGAGTGACAAATTTTATTCGATCACGAATAGCTTACTGCTAATTAATGACAATTTTTGAAAAGATCAAGATTAGTAGGGATGTATTTAAAATCAACCCACCTTGTGGATAAAAAAAGTTATAATTTTAAAATTTACACTGTTAACTTTACGAACATTATAGGATTCGGATAAAACTAAAGAAATTTGAATAAAAGGGTACAACAGATGTACGTTAGTTTTTAAATATATCGAATTGTAAAAAATTTTTCAATTGGAGGCTATCGAAAAGGTGAGCGCTTTGACGAAGTACTCAAGCCGTTAAAAAAAACACTAAAAAAACCTAATTTAACTGATAGTTCTTAGGACCTAAGCTATAGCTATAAAGTTACAAATTGTAAGATTTTAAGCTCGCAAACGGTATATAAACTCTAGAGGACGGACGCTGTAAAAACTAAACTCGTCTAGTCATGCTGATCAAGAATATATTTTCTTTCTAGAGTCGGAAATGTCTCCTTCACTGCGCTACAAACTTCTGACCAGTTTTATATACGCTCTGCAAGGTGTAAAAATATTATTCAGTACCGGAGTTTTTCACGGTCCTTGCAATAGTACCGGCTTCTTTTGTTTTCCGAGGCATTTGGAGAGTAGGCGAATAATTAAATGCACTTTTATTCGAATCGGATTTATAGATATACGGACATTAATTTGGAAAATAATTTTCTTTAATAAGAGCTAAAGATACGATCGCTGGAAGTCTTTCTTTTTTATTTTCTTTACTCAGTTAATATAGGCAATTAAAATGTTTTTTGTATTTTTATACCCTTTCATTAAAAATTTGGCAACGCAACGCAACTCATAAAGTATATATATTCAGCATCACCCGATCCACCTGTCCGTATTTACGTTTCTACGCAAACTCCTTCCAAAGCTTATTGGATGTAACCTTGCAAAAGGCATTCTTTCTGTTGCAGCTAAGATATAAGTCGGAACGGGACAGATTTGCCCGGTATATTATATAGCTTAGGAAGAACCGGGAAAAAGGGAAATGAAATTATAACTTTGTTGTTGAAATACGGTTTTATCTTTATAAAAATCTGACGAATTTACTTATATTATTTAATTGGAATTTCGTCACGATTTTATTATTACTTTTTTTGATTTTCCAAATTCAAGTTTCGACCGGGTTGGACCTTTCCTCGTGTAATCTACATATATAGAATTCTTAAGAGGGATGTATAGTTAATTCGCTGCAAAAATCTGACATTTATAACGAATTTTGATTGGCTATTCGTAATAGTCTCAGAAAAATTTTTGTTTTCCCATGTGATATTACAACATTTAAACAATATTTGAATATAGTGACATATAGGCTATCTTTGGCGGCACCTTGAAAAAAGGGTAATTTGCGGTTTACATCGAAACTAATCATAGAATCAACTGAATTAAAAAATGTCATTATTTAAAGGACAAACTTTCCCAAGTAACGCTGTCTAGTTTTTATTTTTTAACCTTTTGAAATCTGAGTTATTTGTTGTTGTAAAAATAATAAATTTTCCCAAAAACAAAAAAAAAATCAACAACGTAATCGAGGATTTTAGTAAAGAAGTACTGTGCAAAATTGCAAAACGATTCGTTCAGGCAACTTTTCAGAAGAGCCTTTTAAAAAAAAAATCGAATATAAAACGCGATAGCTTACCTACGTTCAACTGTCTATTACTTCGGAAGTTTTACTCGGATCAATCTTAAATTTTAACACAATATTCTGCAAGTGTTGTGCATGCAGAAAAAAATGCAAAAAAAAAAACAAATTTAAATACTGTACCCCCACTCTTGATAAAGAGGGAGTGGGTAAGCGTTGTGCTCAGCAAGAATGTTGGGAATTTTGGTGAAATGATTGAATTTAATGTAACCAGGAATCAATTAGAAGAATTGTCATATATTTTATTATCCGAAAATATATTTCTATTTTTCTATTAGTCACAAAGAAGTTTATACGACCCAGTAACTCTGGACTGTTTATATCCCCGTGAAAGTTGAGCACACCACACTGTGGACTCCAAACTTATGAATAATTTATTTTTATTTATTTTTTTTTTTTTCGCGCGGAGTCCCACGGCCCACTTACCCGCCCAACCGACCGAGGGGCGCAGCCGTGTATCGTACGACACGATTCGCGATAAGATAGACGCGAGATAGGAAAATAAAGGTAAAGGTCCGGGGAAAAAAGTAATAGTTAGATCAATCTTATGCCAATGAAGCAAGTATCAATCGTTTTAGGAGCGGCAGAGAGTCAAGATTTGATATTACAGGAAATAGTCTATTATAGTCAGAACATAATACTCTGAAAGGCTCATGCAAGGCATAGTTAGATCTACAATGATTTAAAATTAATTTCTAGTTAATCTACTTGGCACAGAAAAGTTTAGCCGACTTAACAAGTCGGGGCAGTCAATATCACCATGTATAAGGTTAAAAATAAAGATAGTACCAAGCATCGTTCTATGGTTGGCTAGGGATGGTAAATTAATCAAAAGAAGTCTACTAGAATAATAAGGTAAGATAAGGTTTGCATCCCAGTTTAGGCGCCGTAAAGCAAAAAGAAGGAAGTTTTTTTGTACAGATTCAATACGACCAATATATATTCCGTGCTGTGGGCTTCAGACGGGAGACCCATACTCCAGAATCGGACGGACTAGCGAAATAAATAAAGTTTTAGTCAAATAAGGATCATCGAATTCTTTTGACCACCTTTTAATA